CACACACACACACACACACACACACACACACACACACACACGCGCACACATGCATCCCTTCACCCTCCCCCAAATTCTCGCTCTCTGGGGTGGGTTCTTAAATCCTTTTGAAGTCCTAAGCACTGCAGAAATCCATTGAGAGCCATGTATAATGGCTTTTAAGAGAGAGTGTTTAGCTATATGCCGACCCTATGGCTTATGAACCGCTGGCGTTTTAATGGATCCCCCTGCTCCCACCTCTCTTTTTCTCCCTTCACCAGTTCTAAATCCAATGGATTGTCCCTCATTATCATTTAAATAAACCTCTCTCTCTACCCAGAATGTGCCATGTTGAATGAACTCTACATCGTTGAGCTAATTCCAAATGGCCTTGGCCTCCTCCTATCACCCAAGTCTTATGTCCGAAGCACACATGCACCGCACACAACATTTGTGCGTGTAGACTTATTTATACAGACGTACACAGCCTGTTTAAACTTGGTGTGGGAACACACAGACACCATCGATCGAACTTTTCACCCGAAAATACTTCTGTTCTTGTCTCCATAATCTACCTTATGTCTAGTTGTTCATCCCTTTCTCTCCTCCCCCTTCCTGGTCTCATAGTGAAGGGATCAGAGAGTTTGAGATGGACATGGAATAGCCTTTTGATTCCCGCAGAGCCTGCTTTCCGGTTCACGGTGGGACCTCTGCCTAATCATCACCACAGGAGCTGTCCTGCAAATCAGGGGAGCACACAGGCGTTGATGAGTGCTGAAGCCTAGAACAGGTGTGGAAGAATGGATGAGGGGCACCAGGCAAGGAAACGGTCCTGGTGAAGGTATGGGGGAGGTTATTTGGATTGAAAGTAGACCCGTGGATAGAATTGGTCGAGCAGAAAAGTTCACTCCAGAGGCCAGGGGGAGAAATTGCCTATCGAGACAGAAGAATAAAAGCTGTGAAAAGTGGAAGTAGAGGGAGGGATTTCAAGATTGGTGCTCCTGCTGGGTGAAGACAGACTGTGCCGGAGAACAAAATCCAGGCTTTTCTGTATCCATGCTATTCTTGTTTGGCATTTAGATGGCTGCATAGGAAATCACAGGAGGGGCTTAATATCTCCTTGCAGTGTTTGGCTCTGATTATAGTTTTTACGATTTAGCTATTTCACTTTCCTACTTCTTTCTTCCCCTTCCTGCGGGGTCTTTGTGGGGATTCATTGAGCCCTCAAATGACTGATCAATTATTGAAAAATTGCCTTTGGAACCCGACTCTTTTGTTATGATTATTTAGTTTCATGTAGGTATGCCCTATGGACTAACTTTCACAGACTTTGATGTTGGCATTGTAATGCTTGGAGAAGATGCAACATTGTGCTCCCAAATGCTTGATAAATAATAAAGATCTGCCTGTGGGTTAGGCTGGGTGATATGGCCTTCGAATAGGAGTTCAGATTTTTTTCCTCCCAAAAATCTGATTTGCAATTTTCATGGACCCCCTTTGTTAATTGAAAAATCATACGACAATGAAGCAAGTCAAAATATGTTTTGCCCCTCCAACAGGATTTTATTTATTAATCCTGATATCAACCAAACTTGGAAATATTGTTTTTTTTCTCCATCATCCGCTTCCTAAAATGATATAAATACATGTTTTTCTTCCAGATAATAACTTTTTTTTTCTTGTAAAAATGTCTTTTTTGTAAAAACCTTTTTTTTTTCTTTTTCAAATGTTCAACAACATAAGATCATACATAGAGTTGTCAAACTGCTTGGCGTGGCTGGTGCTACGTAGCTTTATCGTATCAAGATCAATCTGTGAATATTCAAGATATTAATATTAGGGATGCGCCGATTGATCGATGGATGATATTTGTCCGTCGATTTGTCCGTTTGTGAAAACATGCGTGAACGGTGAATCCGCTCAAAGCCTCTAAAGGCTGATCAATCTATTTGACGCAATGTCGTGTGTTTGAATAATAAAGTGATTTATCCAATTCATCTATAAATTAAAAACAAAATCTGATTAATCGATTATTGAAGAGAATTCAGTAGTTGTAGTTCAAAAAATCGAAACCATACACCACATCCAATTTTACATGGTATCGGCCAATCACCCTCATGAATGATCGATATCGGTATTGGCATCTTAGACTCCTGATCAGAACATCTCTAATCCCGATTGACATGAGGACGATATCAGTCACGGGACCTTGCCATGCTTGTGTTGCATGTAAATCTCAGTTCAACTAGCCACATTCCTCCTTCTAAGTATAGGCTTGATCGACAGTTAAAATGTGCAGATGATAATCATTTTGCGGAGGGCGAGAGGGAGGAGGGACACACGCAGAGCAAGCGAGGGATACACGCAGCTGCTGCTGTCTGGACAGCACATAAGTAAAGAAATTAATCAAATCCTATCGTATCAAAAACAATAAACATGTCTCTTTTAGCATAACATTATTTATGATTAAATTACAATCGCAGTACAATGTGAATTGAATATTTTTTTAAATTTATTTTTATTTATTTATTTATTTTTTTGCCGACTTTGTTCTTGTTGATCACTGTCAGTATGTTCTTAAATTCTTTTGGATTGATATTTAGAATTTTTTTTCACTGACCCCATAGTAACATCATTATCGTATCGTTAACAAAATATCTGGCAAAAATATCTGTATTAAATTTTAGCCATATCCCACAACCCTAGCTGGTGCATATGTATGTTCCCTGCTCTTTCACTGTCTTTTCTCATGTAGCGTTGCCCAGGAGAGGCAAGGGGTCCTCAGCTAAATATTTGCACCTTAGATTATATCGTGTATCTCGGGTCACCATGCTCCGGCAATGGTCAGCACATCTGATTGTGTGATTGCCTTCCACCTCACTGCTTCCGTGTCATACAGAGAACAATGTGTTTCTTTTCACTCTGCTTTTATTAACTCCCTCCACTCTGTTTTCAGCCATTTTGTTAGTGTAAGCAATGTACATCAGGGGCTCACTTTGAACAATGAGAGCTGCTAAAAATATGATTAAAAGGGGAGAAAAAGTCGTAATAAAATCAATGAATTACTAAACTCTCCCAGGATGTTGAAATGTTTTTTTTACTTCATTCTGTCATACATTGTAGCACGAACACAAGTCCAAACTATTTGGTATTCAGAATGATACTAAATATATATAGTTTTATACCGTTCCTCTGTAAAACGCAAACATATGAGCTGTATATGACTGATAACTTAGTGCCATTGTGGAGGCCAGAACATAAGGTAGCAGTCTGCAGTTGCGGCATACGAGGCGGGCTAGGTAAAAGGTTAACGTGAATATTGATATTAAAGCGGCACTGCTTCATCATGTCTGTGTCAGGGAGTGAAATGCTCCTTAAAGGTCATTCTTGTTCTCCTCTCTCTCCCTACAGAGTTCCACTCACTCGCTGTCAGGCCGCGACTACTCAGTAAGTGACATTTTCATGCTTCATAGCTTTATGGCGGAATTACAATCTTCAACGACCCGCTTTATGGCCCCAGCGCTCCACATTTTAATTATATTAAATAGTGTAATGGAGAAATCATGATATTAGAAGCATTAATTCTGTCTGACTGATTAAATCGTAGCAAGGTGTCCTGCACTACCTTGGTGAAAAGCGTTGTTTTATTAGCATCTATCTTGGCTCCTTGTACTTTTGCATTCAATTTGATTTTACTTTTAATCCATGATTCCCCCGCGTGTAACAGAGCATTGTAACATCATACAGTAAATGTGTTAAACATGTGCCGTGATAGAGGTTAAACAGGGTTTTTAAACCCACAAAACCTTCGGCTAATTCGTTCATAGTGGACTAACAGTTTGTTAGCGGGCTATTTTCATCCCGTGAAAGCATTCATTGTCTGGCCCCTCTGAGATTTTAAAACCGCACGTCAATGCTCTCATTTCAGATATTTGTGTAGTCTCTTGGTAATAGAGACACAGTCGTCCTTTCTGTCCTTTGTGTAACGATGAGCTCATAAGAGGAATATTCTTTTAAGTGCGCTACTTTTAGCTGATGAGTGGCATATGGCACCTCATATTGCAAACTGGAGGCGGCCATCTAAACAAACAAAACAACTACAATGGTTGACGTGCTTTGTCATTGCTAATCGGACTCAAAGGACTGCCATTAAAGCCTCCAACAAAGTGTAACTTCAAAAGACACTGATCTCCATGCATCTTTTTTTAAAATGTTGTTTTAATAGAACATGTCACATTCAAATTCCCCAGCGGCTGGATATTCGCAGATGAAAACAAGTATGTCCTTCCAAAAAAGCCTGTGGTGGCCTTTGTCTCAAGCTGTCAGTTTGAGTCGGCATAGAGCAAGGCTTTCTCTTCATCTGAAAGGAGGAAGGGGGTCGGATATGGATGTGGCGAAGGCTTGGTGGGTGGTGATTTGCAAGGCGGTATTGTGCAAGCAAAAGATAGACCGGTAAGGAGGTCAGAAAGTCTCATGTTGTCTGTCTCCACTTTCTGGCTTTCCCACATTGCTATCTGCAGTGTTTGTAGCCTCTGGGCATCTCCTGGGTACTGAGCTCTGACTCTCAATCTGCTCAGCTGCCGAGCCCACTTGATTTCTGCAGGCATCTTATCTGTATGTGCTTCGGGCCTTACAGAATGATGGTTTTGAAAAGGGGTGCAGAGGTTGTAGGGTCGGGGGGGCTCCAGGGAGCTTCCAGGCAAAGGCTGAGTGGGCATGGGTGGAGGAGTAGGTCTCAAAGAAGGCCAGAGACTGGACTGAGTGTTATGACTGGAGGAAAATGGAGAGAAAGGTTATGCATGTGGGTGGAGAGCTATGTTTGAAGTGGAGGGTTGTGTAGGAGGGTCAGCCAGGCTAGAACAGAAGGGGCACTAACAATTGCGACAAAGCCCGGGCGCTCTTTGACATCTACTGCTACAAATCATCACACTTGTGGATCAATGCTTGCTGTTTGTCACATTTTTAATGATTGGATAGAAAAGCAAAATCATAATTGGCTATCAATGTGAAATAATAGAAAAACTTTGCTTTTTATGCTGCCCTGTGGCTCTTTTCGGCTGCTTGCAGAGTTTTAAGTTTCCTTGATATTAAATGCATTTGATTACAATTCCTGAAAAGCAAAGGTGCAGCCAACAACGTGCAAGCATATTCCCCAATTCAAATGAAGTTGTGACGTTGTGTGCAATCTAAGAAAAAAACAGAATAAAATGCTTTGTAAATATTTTTCCTCCTGTATTAAACTGAATATGCAACAGAAACTAAATATTTAATGTTAAAACTGGTAAAATGCTTGTTATTTTTTATTTTTTTGTATTGATTTTTTTATTCATTTTTGAACATTTTCACTCATTTAAAATTCAATGCCTACATCACGTTCCAAAAAAAGCTGGAGTAGGAGACCATCCAGATTGTTATTCAAAAGCCAGCATCTGTGATGATATGTGGGTATGAGTTGCTGCAAAGGATCCGATCACATGTTCAGAAATCGGGGCCAATCACGTGATTTTCAGAAGTTTGGTTTTATTTTCTGAACATTTAAAGGTCACAAAGCTACAAAATAATCCAATTGTGCAAATCGGTTGCCAAACAGAACAGTAATGGCTTAATTTCATATTCCACAATGCTATTTTATTTATTCATTTTCTAGTCACAATGTAGTTTGTGTGACACGCACATACCCACACACGTCTCATCCAATGTTCACAGCTCTCCTGCAGGCAAAGACAAAGCGGTGGATTTGTCTTCATAGCTTGTTTGGAGGGAGAGGGAAGCCGAAAGACGCTCCTAATCCTAAATAAGTCTGCCTTGCCTGATATAAAGAAGCCTCGTTGCCAAATGGCATCGTCAAAGAGTTGGGAGAGCCGCGAGCAGGACAGACAGGTTAGCAATTGTGACATGGCCAAATGACATAACTTCAAGCAAGCAAGCGTGTTCCTCACTGGTTGCATTTAACATCATCATAACTCCATAGTATCATTTCTAGATGAGAGAAGTGACACACGTAACCAAATGCTACATAGCTGCATGGACTTGTCATTATAGCCTGCACAAGTCTATAAATCATGATGTAAATGTAGAGTTTACCATAGATACATCAAACAGAGGAAACCTTGAAATTCTGTGGTAATGCTCATATGGGCCATTCAACCAAATTGGTACTATTTGCATCCCCAGGCAATTACACGAAAATACATTTTATAAAGCGCCCAAAGCGAAAGAATAAAAATGTGTTTTAAAACTAGTTTTGAAGATGGACAGGGAGGAGGCCTGCCTCACATTTACCGGAAGGTTATTACAAAGCGAGGATTGGCAACGGGAAAAGCTCGATCCACTCTGAGCCTCTGCTTAGTCAGAGGTACCTACAGTAGCGAGGCACTGGCCGGTGCGTAGAGATGGGGGAGCTCGAAAACGTAAAGAGGAGCGAACCATTTAAAGGTTTGAAGACAAATAAAATATGGAATAAATGGACAGTAACATGTATGGAGAGCCAGTGAAGGGAGGCCAGAAATTGAGTCTTGTGCTCCTTCCTCTGAGCTCTTGTTAGAAAATGAGCAGCAGCATTTTGGACCAGTCGGACATGCTTGAGGGAAGACTGTCTGACTCCAAAACAAAATACATGCTGCAAAGAAAATGATACATATTCAATGCACACCACGCTTATGTAATTTATTCCCCTTTCAGATTGCACACTACAAGCACTTGGTTCTTCTTTTCCTAAAACATAATTTTCTTTTGCTGGAACAAGTTTCGAGAAAGAAATAGAAATGGAATTGAGCACGTAGGTACGATTTTAAAATGAAATTACTCGTCCCAAAAACTTTACCCGAGCCCACCTTATCCTGACCAATCATCTCTCGTTCATGTGTGACTCCTAATAGCAGGTCTGTTGAGTCTTAGCAGCGATAAGTCACAGCAGGACTGACTCCCTATCTCGCGCAGTGTGAGGGGCTGGATATGGAATTGTTTATCAGGGTGACTCTATCCTGTCTGCTTTTTGCAGGTTTCATTACAGCCCCGGCCATGTTTTGGAGACAATATATGTGCCTTGTTTCCTGCGGTGCTACATGCTTGTTGTTTCAGTGCGGATGGGCCTGGACTCAAGCGATTTATCACTCTCAGGGGCTTTTTGATAAAGAACCCGGCACCCTCCGCCGTGTCTGCGATATAGGCGCTACAAGAAGCAGGGAAATTGTCAGAAAATCTCACTGCAGCTATCTACCCTTTCTCTCACTACCCCTGGGCTGGATATATAGTACATAGGACGAGACAGTTTAGCTCGCCAAAAAAGACAACACACCACACTGTTTCTTTTCAGATGAATTGAGTTAGTTTCCCACCCCCTCTCTTTTTACCACCCAAGGCCAAACTATAGCTTATGTTTTTGTGCACAATGAAAGCATCAATCTTTGTCTGTGCAATATAATCTCACTTGACTGCTTTGGCAGGGTTTATCTTGGTGCAGTCATGGATTTAAACCTTAGCCATGCAGTTTAGTTGAGTAAAGCTTGTCTGGAACTGCCACACACCCATTCTTCATTTCCACTGATTGGGGTGTCATAATCACATTTAATGCTCAATGAGTCCAACAGTTTTGGAGGTGTGTGTGTGTGTGTGTGGGGGGGGGGGATAGATTTTTAGAGTTCAAAATTCATTTTGCTGTTCCAGGGATGATGCATTTTACAAAACAGTCAAGCCATTATATTTCATGTCAAATTTAGCCATTATTAAACCTATATTCAATTCAGATTCACCGGATTAGTTGCTCAACACTGCAAGCGTTAGATAAAAGAAAGGCTCCAAATCAATGTTGTATCCCTGATTATGATGTCACTTAAATTTTCTGTCTCTCTCTCTTTGTCTTTAAATCTCTGTCTGTCTATCTCTGTCACTGGTTCCTTGTCAGTGAGAGAGGCATGCGGGTGTCTCCACAGCACAGGCTCTTCACATGGTGAAAATTAGTGCAGGAAACCAAGAGCCCAGCAGGAGTGGGTCAGGGCCCTGACATCGTGCTGCTCTAAAGGGTGGGGCGCTGGCTGTCAGTGGCCTCTCTATGAGGGCTGTCTGCCATGAAAACCCATTTGTTTATCCCTGTGTGTGGTCCAGCTTCAGATCCTGGGCCCTGCTGCTCTCTACACATCAGGAACCTGGGCTGTTGCCATTAGCAACAGATAAAAATGGGTGTTAACCGCAACATGGCCCACAACACATCAATCAGAGGGTCTACAGATAAAGGCTTCAGGCTTCTGGGGACCTGGTTGAATAGCTTGGCTGAAAATCCTTTTCCAGTGACTGAGCACACACAGATCTGGTAGTGGCGCTCTGCAGTTATTCAGATGTGTGGACACAAGTGCGATTTTCAGTTTTGCAGCTTGGGTTTTTTTTTTTTTTTTTTCTTAATGGAGATGCATTAGAAAGGCACAAATGCAAAGGGCACTGTGGGACAGGTC